TTAGTTTCACCTTCCCGGATTCTTGAAGTGGAGATCCCACTCTGAGTTTCTTTTGGCAACTAGAGATAGAACATAAAATTCTTCTTTTTCAGCTTTGGAAAATAGCATATAAAATTCTTCTTCTCCTCCATCGGGTTCGTATTTGCCCCAAGAGAAGACATAATCTTTTAATACTACAACTCTATAATCCGTGCCTTACACGCGCGGGGAATTTTATCTTTAATCCTAAGTAGGGATAAGTCAGCGTCTAACATGCGTTATCGGTTTAGTCTTTCACCGATTAAAAAAGATACCAGAATCTATGTCTAGGAACTTTATCCCAAAGCCTAAGTAGGGATAAGTCGGCGCCTAACACGCGTTGCCGGTTAGTCCTTGACCGTAAAAAGGACAAAATCCCATATATTCGATATTGTGACAGGTTGTTATTAATAACACCATAATCCGTGCCTTACACGCGTGGGGAATTTTATCCTTAATCCTAAGTAGGGATAACTCAGTGCCTAACACACGTTGCCGGTTTACTCTTTCATCGATTGAAAAAGATACTAGAATCCAAGTCCGAGAAAGTTTATTCCAAAGCCTAAGTAGGGATAAGTCAGCGCCTAACACGCGTTATCGGTTAGTCTTTGACCGTAAAAAGGACAAAAACCCACATATTCAACATTGTGACAGGTTGTTATTAATAACACCATAATCCGTACCTTACACATACATGGTATTTTATCCTGAATCCTAAGTAGGGATAAGTCAGTGCCTAACACGCGTTACCGGTTTAGTCTTTCAGCAATTGAAAAAGATACCAAAATCTGAGTCTGGGGAATTTTATCCCGAAGCCTAAGTAGGGATAAGTCAGCGTCTAATACGCGTTGCCGGTTAGTCCTTGAACGTAAAAGGACAAAAGCCCACATATTCAACATTATGGCAGGTTGTTATTAATAACACCATAATCCGTGTCTTACACGTACGAGGAATTTTATCCCGAATCCTAAGTAGGGATAAGTCAGTGCCTAACACGCGTTGCCGGTTAGTCTTTCACAGATTGAAAAGGACATCAGAATCTGAGTCTGAGGAATTTTATCCCGAAGCCTAAGTAGGGATAAATCAGCGCCTAATATGCGTTGCCAGTTTGTCATTGACCGTAAAAAGGATAAAAGCCCACATTTTTGATATTATGACAGTTTGTTATTAATAACACCATAATATGTGCCTTGCACGTATGGGGAATTTTATCCCGAATCCTAAGAAGGGATAAGTCAACGCCTAACACACATTGCCAGTTTAGTCTTTCACCTATTGAAGAAGATATCAGAATCTAAATCTGGGGACTTTTATTACGAATCCTAAGTAGGGATAAGTCAGCACCTAACACGCGTTGCCGGTTTAGTCTTTCACCGATTGAAGAAGACATCAGAATCTAAGTCTAGGGACTTTTATCCCGAAGCCTAAGTAGAATAAGTCAGCGCCTAACACGCGTTGCTGGGTAGTCTATTCCCGTGAGAAAGACGAAGTCTACGTATTCAATATCGTAGCACTAAGAGAGTTAACTCTCTTAGCACAACAACACATGCTGAACGGACTTAAACAATCTGCATGCAAGCCCGATTCAAACGGTAATCGGTAAAGGCAAGCCAAATCCGTTAAAGGCTGAGGATTTGCCAAAAATCCTAAGACTACGTCTAATACACGTTGCCGTTTAGTCTTTTCACAGGAGAAAGACGAAGTCTACGTATTCAATATCATAGCACTAAAAGAGTTAACTCTTTTAGCACAACATTACGTGTGGAACGGATTTGAACAATCTGCATGCTAGCCCGACTTAAATGGTAATCGGTAAAGGCTAATCAAACCCGTTGATGGCTGAGAATTTGCTAAAAATTCTATAAATACGATAGTCATTGATGCACCAACTCTATTAATTGATCTCGTGACTCAAGGATCTGACAACTTCAGGATAAGATCCAGTCATGCAGATGAATCAGCTTTAACAATTGGTTCTGCAGCCCTAACATTTAGGATCGCAAGGTCAACGTCGGTCAACACGTAGCCCTGTGTAGACACCGGTCAGTGTGTTGTGACGAAAGTCAACACCGGTCAACGCGTTGTGATAAAACTCAACACCGGTCAACGCGTAACCCTAGATCAACGTCAGTCAACGCGTTGCGATAAAAGTCAACACCAATCGATACGAAACCCTAAGATCAACGCTGGTCAATGCGTAACCCTAGGTCAATGCCAGTCAACACGTTGTGATAAAAAAATCAACGCCGATCAACGCGTAACTCTGAGTCAACTCAATGACACGATCCAAAACCAACTCACCAATTTCGATCCGAGACTTCAACAACGGTCAGATGATAAAAGCAGCGCCAGAATAATTTTAGTTATTCATCAAATTATTGAATAGACTAAAAATCGAAGAAGTCAAAGATCAAAGCTGACTACAGGTCCTTTTACATCGACTAAAGGTTGGACTGATCACATCCAAAGTATTTCAGGATCTTCTATAAAAGAAACGAGATTGAAACACTTTGGAAGGGGTATCTGTAGGCGTAAAAAATTACCTATAGGTTCCTGCACATGGCTCGAGACAGAGAGAAGATGATGAACGTCACTACCCGAGTCACAGAAGCTTATTTGACGTCGACAAGCGTATGAAGTGAGTCGACGAACCGTGTGAAGCAACGGAATTTCAGAATAACGAAAACACGAACTAATCGGGAGCTACGCGTCACTTACAAAAGACGAAGCGCCCCTCGTGTCCCGTCTACTCCACATGTGATTCAACCATGGGAGCTTGTAGATCTCCCGTCGGCTTTCCTAGACATTTTGAATTGCGTGATTCCGAGTTCGGACGACGAAAATACGACAAAAACGGACGGGACGCACGAAACAAAGCCCAGAGCCAAAGCTAAGACACCGCAAGTGTCTTGGCCGAGGCCAAGACACCCTTGGTGTCTCGGCTTGGCCGAGATACCAGTGGTGTCTTGGCCGTGGCCGAGACACCCGAGGTGTCCTAGACCCCAAAAAGTTGTTTTGCTGTTTTTTGAGCTGTTTTTCGATCGTTAACCGCCTGGATTTGTTCCAACTAATCCAATGTTATCCAAGAACGTGATAAAATGGTTATAACTCAAGATAAAAGTGAATCGGTCGTTCTTATCCAAAAACGAAGGTCCCGAAGCCTATAAATACAGCCCTAGGACCTTCATTTGCACGGATCTAGAATTCTCGAGCGTCAGCGAAGAACTAAAAACTGAAGGAGCACGAATTTCAGAAGAGAGGAGGAGAAGATCGGATCGAGTTCTTCAGCATAAAGAAAAAGAGTTCTTCGGATCTACAGTTCCCGGTTCCTTCCTTGAGATTGCCCCGTTGCGGTGATCTCGAGAAGAGTGGTTATCTCGCTGTTGCCGAGATAATTGTTTCGGTTTCTTGATTCCTTCGCGAATCAACGAAGCTCTGGATCGATCTGATCGTTTGGTAGTTCACGGATATCAACGTCCCCATCACAGGCCAAGATCCCACGCAAGCCGTGGAGGATAAGTGTCCGTTGCGTTTGTTCAAAAGAAAGTCGTAATTTTTATTGAAAGTCTTATAAAAAGACTATTTCTTTGAGTTCGTTGTAAACGTTTAAAATTATAATAAACTCATCAACGAAATCAATTTTCTCCTCCAAACAAAAATCCTCGTTCATATCATTCATAAATAAAAGGATGGACTCGATGTCATGTCCTACAAAAATTGAAATAGAAACATTTTGTTGGTTATGTACTTCAAGATTCTACTGTTTAGCAACATTTGTTTTTAATTTGTTTTCTTCATGTAGCTGTTATGTTAACTACAATTTTTTAAAGCAAATTAATAAGATGTTTTTATAATGATACAAGTGGGACCTAAAAATACATAAAAGGCTGTCTTCATGGACGACCAAATCATATTTCTTCTTTCTTCTTTCTCCTCTATCAAAAAGAAACAAGCGGCTTCTATTTATGCTTGAAATTGAATCGTCTAAGAAATAAATTATCATTTTATTCTTCTTCCCGTTATAAAACAAGTTCCTAGCGCAAACTATATTGAATAGATTAATACAAAATTTCCAGGCCTGAAAATTGCAGCGGGAGTTCATAAATACGGGGTATAAAATAGTAGCAATCAGTGCACAAGACAAAGCTCATGCACATGTTAAGCATAACACTTCATATCATGTAGCTTTCATTAGTAAAAGGCAAAATCCGTTAAGGATGCCCAAAAATCCATCTACAATGGTCATCATAGACGGAAAGTTGTCTCGGATGGTCCGCCTATGATATCTCAGTCTAGGGTGTCGCATCTTAGACGAAAATTCCGTCTAAAATGAACATTCTAGATGGATGTGCATTCTAGATGGGAATTCCATCTAGGATGCACATCCTAGATGGAATTTTCGTCTAGGTTGTTTTCAGCATCCTAGATATTAATTTTGTCTAGGATACACATCTTAGATGAAATTTTCGTCTAGGATGTAACTATACCAAAAAACAATTCAGAAATTGCTTTGAACATGTTTATAGTTTATTTCACCTATTCGACATACATATATACAAACCTACAGTGTTGGTTCGCTTTAATTTATGCAACAATCAAGCACTTATAGAAAGGTTCAAACAACATGCTTGATTAAAGGCTACATTAATCTTAGGGGATAATACAAGAATACTAGTTATCATTACATCTTATACACTAAATAAACCAATACATTGAAACCATGTACATACAACTAAAATTTTTATAACGTGTAAATATGTGTCAACTCAACCAATCTTCTTCTCTCGATTACCATTTTTAGAAAGCCATACATGGTAGTGTCTATAAACCTCTCTCTAGAAACTTTAAATTCTCCTCTGAAATTGGTTCAAACATCTTTGCATCATCACATCTCTGAACACCAAATGCAAACGAATTTAATTAATAATTCAATCCCACAAGTTATATCGTAAAAAGGGTAATCCATATGAATTTACCTTTGATACAGTGATTATACAAGTGAAGGCGTATAATCATCACTCTATCAACTAGATCTTGCTTCTTCTGAGAACAATATTGTCATCATGGCATTTTCTTCAGTAATCGGGATAAATCTTCAGGGAATTTAAGTAACTTTAGAAATTAGTTGCAAGGCCAGACAACGCATTGTATTTTCAATTATAAAGGTTACCACTAGGTATTTATAATAAATCACTATCATACACCCAAGAACAACAAAACTTGTCAACCTTAAAGATGACTTGTACTTACTTGGAAGTGACGTATTGTATATGCTTCGCCATCTTCATCAAATGCACCTTAGACTCGATCAAATTTGACCTGGCCAGCGAGAAAATGGCTATGCATTCTGATCACATCCATCAAAATTAACAAATATCAATCTTAATCATGAGTACTATGTGTTAATCACCAGTATAGAATTAATGGTTATGCGTAAAAGTTTGGATCTTGACCTGGTTCAAGAGTACTATAAATCTTTACATCTCTCAACTGAGCATTTTGCTTCATTTAATTTAGCAAAGAAGGTGACCTAAACATAATAAATTAAATTAAAATTTAATAACAGAGATAATACAATGTAGATCAAGATCTGAAGGAGATACCAAAGAGTTGAGGTTAAAAGAGGAGAGAATTACATTATTGGTTTGAGACCTCATAGGGGTAATCTTTTCTTTTACTGTAAGTGCTTATGCCAAAGGTTACTCCATGAAATAGATACCAGAAAACATATTTTTGATATTTTGAAGGGAAATTAAGAGCATTAATTTCTAGGAATCTTGATCAAACTTTATGATTGTCTGTCAGCTTTAAAATCCCAAAATAACCCAATTAATTCGATAAGGTTCTATCATACCCTACAGGGCTCTGTCTCTTCAATTTAATAACATTAAGGTTTCCTCGACTAAATTGGCTAAACTCGTTAATAAGAATTTAATAATATTAGATTGTATCAGTCAAAACTTACATTAGTGTTAAGTATGCAGTTGCATCAGTCAAATAATATTAAACTATACAAATAAACTACTAACTCTTTGCTCATTCACATCCATTAGAAAAATGTAGAAGGGTTTGCATCAGTCGAAGATCCATGCTGCCTTTTAACTGCATTAAAAAAGGGAATTATGCATTAGATCACCAAATATTGTAGAAAATCTAATGGACTGCATACTTTCAAAACTTCGATGTTCAAAACCCTAAATTTTGCTTCAAAAGCTTTCACAATTTAGTTTTAAAATCCTGAAATAGTTCCAAAATCCATGAAATTGAAGAAATAGGGCATTGCTCCCAGAGATAGAACATACGCTTGCAACGAAAAAAATAGAAAAGTAAAACTTATGACGGTGAAACGATGAATCAACGGTGAGAAAGAGGCGATTGAGGTGGAGGTGGTGATGATCGAGTTAGGGCTTTGAAGGGCTTGAAGCAGAGGCATCGATCTTAGGGTTTGAGGCAGATGCATCGTTTAAGGCTTAGACCATCTCCAACCCATTGCACCAAAATGATGTAAATTTTGCATCAGAATGGTGCAAAAGTCACATCAAATAGTAATACATCTCCAACCCATTGCACCATTTTTTGCACCAAAAAATAATATTCTCAGAATATTCTCAGTTTATTTCCTTTTATCTATTTTTATATTAATTAAGAAGTAAAAATAAATATTTAATTTTTTTAAAAAAAATGAACAGTAATTGTGCGGATGAACAGTGCAACGTCATATTTGGTGCAGCACTGTTCAACTGCACCAAAATGGCGCAGAAAATAGGACTGGGTTGTAGAATGAACAATGCAACAAAAAGCACTGTTTGCACCATTTTGGTGCTGAGTTGGAGATGCCCTTAGGTCTTCAATTTTTAGGGGAGCAGCCATCATTTTATTTTTTTTTATTTTTTGAAAACGAGTGAGAATTTTTAGAAAATAGTGAATTTTTATAGTAAAATTCAGAAACAAAATTCATTTCCACCTACATTGTGCGCACCATAGATCGATTTTGTACATCTAGTATGTTCCGTCTAGAATGTGTACTTTTTTACTAGTGTTTTCATAAAATATATAAACCTATTGATGATAGAATCTCGGAGCAAACTATATATACATAATTAGTACGTACAACCCGAAAGCTTATTGTTACAAGCACTTTACAAGCTAAAATATACTGACTAGCAATATATGCGCCTACCCTATGTCGCCCCTTAACAAAGTCTTCATTCTAGAATTTAGCTAGCACATACTATGTATAATTTGAAAAAATTAAAAATGACAAGATGAGCTAAAGCCTTGTGAGAACATTTCTCAATAGAGTTCCTAGGTATCAAACAAAGGAATAATTCTCAGAAATAGTGAATTATAGGTTTTACACTTGGAATTCTAAGATGATAAGATATTGTGTAAAACAATGCATTATAATTATTTTTAAGAAAAAAATATAAAAATATAAAACTCTTTCTTATATGTAAATTGAATACTGATAATCATATTTTATTATAATTTTATACCATCATTATCTATTTTATATGAATAAATATGCCATTAATAATTATATCATATTTTATTATAATTTTATACCATCATTATCTATTTTATATGAATAAATATGCCATTAATAATTATTTTTATCTTTAATTGCAGGTTAATGAAGAATAAAGCCCAAGATCTCTTCTCTCAACAAAAACCCATGAATTAAATAAAGAACACAAGCAAGAGCCAAAAATCCCAAGTCCAGAATCAAGGCGAGTAGCCTGTAGAAGCCGGAGAAAATAAAAAAAATTAAATATGAAAAAAATGTATTCAAGATAGATGGCCGCAAAGAAACGACGATATCTCTCAATCCGGAAAGCGGAATTTAACATATAATATATAAAAATCGCCTATGTCGACGAGACGAAGCCATCCGTGAAGGCAGAAATTTGATAGGATATCGATGCAATCATCGATGCGGGCATCGAAGCCTGAATCGATACTGACAAATCAGTTACAGATCAATGGCCGATTTTTTATGGTTTTGGATAAGGATTCAATCCAAGGGCTCTCATTCATTGATGTTTACTATAAATAGGGATAGAAAGTGAGGGGTTAGTGGTGTGAAAAATTTTGTATCTCCTTTTGGAGAGGAGAGTTACTCTTAATTGAGAAGACCTTCTAAATTTATAACTTTTTGTTACAATTAATAAAAGAATTTTTTTCACCACTTTAAATTTTTTTTCTCTTTGTTGGATGATGAAGATGGAGATGAAGATTAATTTGGAGGTTTGTTTTTCTTATTTTCTCTTTTATTTCTTTTCTTATTGCTTAGTAGCTTAGATTTATTTACATGCTTGTAGTTAGATTTTATTTTCTTATTTAAATAGCCAAGAGGCTAGAAACCTCTTGCCTTAAATTTATTTCATGCTTATAAATTCGATTTATTTTATGCTTATAGAGTAGATTTATTTTCTTGCATTTAATTCTTGTAATTTATTTTGTAGTTTAGATTTTGTAATTTATTTTATAGTTAGATTTTAATTTCTTGTACTATTCACCTTAAGGCTAGAACCCTCTTGGGTTTAGTTTTTTTTTTGTTCATTTTTATTTTTTTTATTCACCTTTAGGCTAGAACCCTCTAGGGAATCACCCTTTTCTAAAAAGTGGATTCAATTCTAGATTACCCATATCTTTAATTGAATCCGTCATCTTTACTTTGTTGAATTCTATTTTTATTCTTGATTTTCCTTTTTGATTCTTGATTTTATTCATCTCTCATTGTGAAAATCATTTATTCATTGTCACACCCACTCTCACTTACATTTTACGCCTATTTAGATACCATTTTCATTCTCTCCATCTAATTGTCACGCACATAACATAAGAACCAATTTTAATTTTCTCCTACAAAACACTTTCCTCGTGGGATCGATAACTTTTTATACTATAACTTGATTGATTGTGCACTTGCAATTTTTGGATATATGTTTATGCCGCATTAATTTTTTGGCGCCGTTGCCGGGGACGGTGCTTAAGTAGGATTTTATTTATTTTGGTTCTTTAACTTGTATGTTTTCTTGTGAATGAACCACTTGAAGTTGAATATTAAGGATTGAAGATCGAGTGTAACAACCGTAATTTTTCGATACGTATTTAAACAATTTTTCTAGTATTTAAAATATTATATTATATTTTATTAATATTTTTCCTAATTTCTGGAATTTTCTGAGTTTTCAAAATAAATAAATAATAATATATATAGTCTTGTATTTATTATTTCTGCTAAATATTAATTTATGGTTTAGTGATTTTTTTATAAAATCATTGGTGACTAATACTATTAATGACCTTGTTATATTTGATGTAAACCTGAGTTTAGTACATTAGTACATATGTAAATATATAAATATTTAGCTGTTAATTATTTATTAATATTATTATATGTCTAATTATTAATATAATGCTTATTTTGAAAAATCATGCAAAATATTCCCATAATATTCTCTCCCTTAATTTCCTCCCATTTGAATTCCTTCCAAATTCTTTTCCCAATCATCCTTAATCACTTCCCAATCATCTCCTTAATCATGTTTATTTTATACCATTTCTCTTCTCAATCACGTGTATTTATCTCTCCTTCCATTTTCTCTCATTTTCAAATTTCAAAAACAATCAATCAAATATTTGATACTTACCTTTATCTCTCTCCCGTACTCTATCTATTTCTCTCTCCAATCTATTTTCAAATCTTTTCTCTCTCCAAATCTCTTTTTAAATCACAGCAACATCTCTCTCCCACCCGTACCCTCTCTCTCTCTCTCTTCTCTCTCCTCTCTGTTCTCTCCTTTTTCTCTCCCAGCGTCACCCCGACCACCGCACCGGCCCACCGCCGTTCGCCGTCTCCTTCGACCCAGGCC